TCTGGGCAACACAGGACTGTGTAGCCCCCACTCTGGGCAACACAGGACTGTGTAGCCTCCACTCTGGGCAACACAGGACTGTGTAGCCCCCACTCTGGGCAACACAGTACATGAATGTTTGTGTTTTGAGGTCAAACACGAGGCCGGGGTTAGGTCATCACACCTCGTAACTACAGCCAGCTGTGAACACCTGCTACTCCTCAACACACATTCATATCATTAACCAGAAACAATTCACTCACTACACACCACCACATGTCATTCACCTGGGCTGTAAAAGACTCGAACCATAGACTCCCACGTGTGTGAGGCAGAAGCTCTATCCACTCAGCTATGAGTAGTCTTACTTAGGACAGATTCCAGAAGCAACTACTTTAGCTATGCTGGAATTTGTAACTTTCCCCGACTACTACTGAAGCTCAGAGGCTTCAGTAGTAGTCGAGGTGTCCCGCGCCCCACAGCCCAGGTGACTGAAATGTTTACCTCCACAGAAGTGTGGAGGACAAATGTACACCTCCACCACCACCACACTCCGGCACCGAGATCATACTTTATTACTCACGGGTCTTCCCGTGACGTTACTGAAGCTTTACTCGCTCATTGTATGTCTTCCGCTCAGTCCGGGGTCGGCACTGGTGCCTGTGAAACTGTTGCAATCATTTCTCCAGAATTATCTTAGGTTGTCAAGAATCAACACCTCATATTTTAAAGATTAAAATGAGATATTTAGTAACGTTATCAGTGAGAGTGTCTGCGAGGAACTCTTACAATGACTAATTATATAATATTAAACAAATTCAGTTAGTTCTATTATTCCTCATAAGGTGCTGACACTGCCGCCGTCAGCCACGCAAACACAAGGTTACCATCACAATGGAATTTGTCTACGGTACAGTAACGTAGCGAGGTGTTGTAGTAACGTAGCGAGGTGCTGTAGTAACGTAGCGAGGTGTTGTAGTAACGTAGCGAGGTGTTGTAGTAACGTGAGACAACAAGGAAGCCGTCAGGTGGAGTAGCGAGGTGTTGTAGTAACGTGAGACAACAAGGAAGCCGTCAGGTGGAGTAGCGAGGTGTTGTAGTAACGAGAGACAACAAGGAAGTCGTCAGGTGGAGTAGCGAGGTGTTGTAGTAACGTGAGACAACAAGGAAGTCGTCAGGTGGAGTAGCGAGGTGTTGTAGTAACGTGAGACAACAAGGAAGTCGTCAGGTGGAGTAGCGAGGTGTTGTAGTAACGAGAGACAACAAGGAAGCCGTCAGGTGGAGTAGCGAGGTGTTGTAGTAACGTGAGACAACAAGGAAGCCGTCAGGTGGAGTAGCGAGGTGTTGTAGTAACGTGAGACAACAAGGAAGCCGTCAGGTGGAGTAGCGAGGTGTTGTAGTAACGAGAGACAACAAGGAAGTCGTCAGGTGGAGTAGCGAGGTGTTGTAGTAACGTGAGACAACAAGGAAGTCGTCAGGTGGAGTAGCGAGGTGTTGTAGTAACGTGAGACAACAAGGAAGTCGTCAGGTGGAGTAGCGAGGTGTTGTAGTAACGAGAGACAACAAGGAAGTCGTCAGGTGGAGTAGCGAGGTGTTGTAGTAACGAGAGACAACAAGGAAGTCGTCAGGTGGAGTAGCGAGGTGTTGTAGTAACGAGAGACAACGAGGAAGTCGTCAGGTGGAGTAGCGAGGTGTTGTAGTAACGAGAGACAACAAGGAAGTCGTCAGGTGGAGTAGCGAGGTGTTGTAGTAACGAGAGACAACAAGGAAGTCGTCAGGTGGAGTAGCGAGGTGTTGTAGTAACGAGAGACAACGAGGAAGTCGTCAGGTGGAGTAGCGAGGTGTTGTAGTAACGAGAGACAACAAGGAAGTCGTCAGGTGGAGTAGCGAGGTGTTGTAGTAACGTGAGACAACAAGGAAGTCGTCAGGTGGAGTAGCGAGGTGGTGGAGTAGCGAGGTGTTGTAGTAACGAGAGACAACGAGGAAGTCGTCAGGTGGAGTAGCGAGGTGTTGTAGTAACGTGAGACAACAAGGAAGTCGTCAGGTGGAGTAGCGAGGTGGTGGAGTAGCGAGGTGTTGTAGTAACGTGAGACAACAAGGAAGTCGTCAGGTGGAGTAGCGAGGTGTTGTAGTAACGAGAGACAACAAGGAAGTCGTCAGGTGGAGTAGCGAGGTGTTGTAGTAACGTGAGACAACAAGGAAGCCGTCAGGTGGAGTAGCGAGGTGTTGTAGTAACGTGAGACAACAAGGAAGCCGTCAGGTGGAGTAGCGAGGTGTTGTAGTAACGTGAGACAACAAGGAAGCCGTCAGGTGGAGTGTGGCTCAGTAGGACTGAGCCACACTGTGTGGAGCAGCTCCAACAGTTGTGATGTTATACACATTGTAAATATAACAACAAGGCCTTGATGCTTCTGTTTATTTTGTTATGATAAATGCAAATTATGTGTTTGGACCTTAGTGAATGTATGTCGTGTCGTCAAAAATATATTCACGATTGTTCAATATTGTTAAAATTATTAAATCTTTGTATTATTTACCGATATATTATATTATTAAATGTGGAGATGAAGATTTGTACGTGATCTTGAAGTATAGTAATTATCAAAACAAGGCACCAAACTTGGGAGACTGTTTAGGGCCGCCTGGGGAACACAACTGTTAAATCAACTTCAAGATGCTAAGACGAGAGAGAAACGACAAGACAAGGGACGATAGAAGTAAGTGATCCACCAAGGAGTATATCCAGGGAACAAACCACACAAGGACACTTAGAAACCAAAACTTCAGAGCATAGGGCCAGATTCACGAAGCAGTTACGCAAGTACTTACGAACGTGTACATCTTTCCTCAATCTTTGATGATTTTGGTTACTTTATTACACAGTTTACAAGTATGAAATCTTGCCAATCAACTGTTGGTATTGTTATAAACAGCCTCCTGGTGCTTCAGAGCTCATTAAGTGTTTAATAAATGTAAAGTAAGCCGCAAAAGATGCAGAAAAGATGTTCAGGTTCGTAAGTGTTTGCGTAATTTCTTCGTGAATCTAGCCCCTGGTAATCAGGCTGTATTGAGGATAATAATAATAATATTGTAATAATATTATAAAATAATATAATTAATTATTATTAATAATAATATAATTAAAAGAAAATAATGAGGAGAGGCGTGAGCAAGTTAAACAGCACTAAGTGAAGGTCACGAGGCGCTAAGTCAGTGTTGGTGCGGAACACGTCCACGTCTCTGATAACAAACGAGATGCTTGTGTATAACCAGAGAGGCCAGCATACTAGTTTAAATATATATGTATATAATTATACGGAAAATCCTCAAGGAAATGAGAAAGGGAGATGAACGTTTCTTAAAAGGATTCTTTCTGAAAGGATAGTCAGAAACAACCCCCCCAAACCAGCAAAGAAGGAAGCAGATAAACTGATTACCACATTTATACCCATTGACCAGACCACACACTAGAAGGTGAAGGGACGACGACGTTTCGGTCCGTCCTGGACCATTCTCAAGTGGACTTGAGAATTCTTACTACATAAACAATTTATCACAAACAGAACCTGAACACTAACGTATTTTAGATCTAACTATACACCATATTCTAATATGTAAAATATATATTAGAGGAAAGATTTTGAAAGGTTTGTTAAAATTTATGAACGTGTCTGGATTGTGTCACAACCTGGATGAGCACAGCCTGTGGACAGGTTGGGGCCGGTTGGATCTTGGACAAGCATAGCTTGGGATTGGCTGCAGCTTAGACGAGCTTAGCCTGAAGACAAGTTGATGGAAAACAAAATTGGCTTTAAGATCTGAGCATACCATCGAAGTGTGACTGACTAAACTGACTGATATACTGCTCAAATTAATATGACGCAGTAATTTGGGCAATGAATGCCTGCAGTTACCTTTCCAGGAGTCAAAGAAGGCAATTCCTTCAAAAAACCTAATACCTGGGCAACTTCGTACTCTTCCATCCGACCTACCCACAAGCAATAAACTTAATCCGAAATCAGGACCCCTAATGTATTTCGAATTTTCCGGGTTTCCCCAGGAAACTACAAAAACAAGAAACTTGACAAATCCACCCGCAACCCGGGACCACAAGAGGCCACAATGGAAATCCGCAATCAGGCCACCAGCCCCACCTCCCGCTTACGAAAATAAGACGCATGCAGTCGAGACTCCCATTCCCCACAATGAACACAACCGTCCGAGTCCGCAAGACCTAACAAAAAACCGTGCATTCGTAGACAACGTCTCGTGCAATAAACGAAACATCCTCGCTGCCTCGGGGCAATATACGGCCCGCACAACGCGACGCAAACAACGGGTACAACCTCTCTACCCTGCGACTCGCTCGACCGAGAGGCTCCTATACACCTCACGACAACTAAAAGACATAAAACCAGAACCTACAAAGCCCCCAAAGAAGAAGAAAAATCACATACGAGTACACAGGAGTAATAAAAACCATTTTCCAACAAAACTCCACTTCTATCAAGTAACTAATCCACATAGAACAAAAATGCAAAACTAGAGAGTTTAAATCATCCCCTAACTCGAGCCCGCGACGAAACGACACCCAAAACAAAGCTATCGACTTGACACACATCTGGAATACCAACACCATTCTCCACCACCCTCAAACAGAGGATCTGCGAATCGGAAGGTAACGGCCATGCCACACATATCGAAAGACCACACTTTCCTGAGCACGGGCCCGAAGCTTTTCCAACAGGAAATACTGAACCAGCTACCAGACACGAGATAAAGTATAGTAAAGTATAGTAATATACTTGCAACATACTACCCGAGACTTGCAACACCTTGCAAGTCACTATTATCGCCCGATGATAAATGGCCAAGACCCGCCTGGACAGTATCCCCACAGCACGAGAGACCACCTCCCAATTAAACCTCAACGACTGCTCATATGTACGAAACCAAGTAATACCCAAGACATGGACAGACTGCACCACAGGAAACAAGAACCCCCCTCTCTCCAAGCCTCCCTAGGAACCCAACTCCCTGACCCCATGATACATGACAGCTCCCGTGGCTAACTCAAAACGACGCACCACATCCTGAACACCAACAACTGAACATTCCGTAGCCACGAAGACTACCATGTCATCTGCATACTTACACACCTTGAGGACTAACCCATTCGGCAACATCGAAGTGAATAGAATTACAACCTTTTAACGCTCGAACGAAAGGTTCCTGAGAGATAACATAGGAGCATCGACAAGGGGCACCCTTGCCGGACCAAGCGCCTGTTAGCAAAAGAAGCACTAAATAACCCATTAATACACACCTGACTGCCACACCTCTGATACAGCATGCGAACCCAACCCACAAAACGGAGAGTAATCAGTTCCACTCTGTAACCCACAACACAAAGCTAATGGTAACCCGATCAAAAGCCTTTGACTAGTCCACATTGATCATTGCCGCCGGGAGAGGCGACCCCGACATACAAAGAAGCACATCCCTGAAAAGAGCATTTCAACACACCAACGACCTCCCCGGGACCCCACACAACTGTTCCTCAGACACCAACGACCTCCCCGGGACCCCACACAACTGTTCCTCAGACACCAACGACCTCCCCGGGACCCCACACAACTGTTCGTCAGACACCAACGACCCCACCACCAGATGAAGCCTACCAGCCAACACATTTGAGATAATTTTATAATCGTGATTCAGAAGCATTATCGGGCGCCAATTGGAAAGCGCAAATTCCCCTGTTTAGGGAGCAGCCGCACAATACCACCAGCCTGCGAAGCAGCCAACGACATCTGCTCCATACAAACCTGGAGCACCTCAATAAAATAAACCTATGATGTCCCAAAAATAGACCTAAAGCTCCGCCGGGAGGCCATAAGATTCCCAAACGTTCCCCTTCCCCGGTGTTGTCTAACATGAACCCCATTCCTGTTAGACAACACCGACCCATCCGGCATATGGAGCCCAGTCAATAAAACTGACTCACGATCACGATTCTCCTTCCGCAGCAGCAACTGCGATAGACGTTAGTCATACAACCTCTCCCCAACCCCCCGCCCGCACGTGGACCCCCCCCCACCCCTCAGCTAACTCCTCCCGCAACCGGGGAATCTGATCTTTACACACAATACCCCAAAACCTATCAACCCCCCCCCCCCCTTTAACCAACCCATACAAATGAGTCAACTTCGCATGCAGAACATGCAATAACCCCCATACCGCACAGCCGCCTTCATCTTCGCTAATGCAATGAACAACCTCTTACACTCGCCCTTACACAGACAAGGAAACCAACGTTTTCGAGCGACCAACACAGCCCACCGCTCCCGAAACCGAGCACGAACATCAGGACACTGCAGCAAACTACAGTAAAATTTCCACCATCCCCGACCCACACCCACCAGGCTCCGAGCCATAACCGTCACCATACAATAGTCCGAGAAAGCAACCGGTTCCGTCTGAAAAGAAACCACCGACCTCTCCCACTTATGAACATAAAACCTATCGAGCAGAGAACACGAACCACGAGACAGAAGTAATCCTCAATGCACCCCCTCTGAACCACAGCCACGAGACCCACGAGACCTTTAAACCCACAACACTGAAGAGTCTTAATCAATGCAGGGGACACAATCGCAGGCCAGAGACTACTACTGTCCCTCGCCGATGTGACAGTTAAAATCCTCCCCAAAAACATGGCATGTGTATCATACCTCAAAAAATGTAAAACCTTATGTGCAAAAAGAGACTCACGTTCCCTCCTCCTAGCCGCCCCAGAGGGTGCATAAATATTTAATAAAGGAATCTTCACCCCAATAAATGCGTTCCTGACCAACAAAATCCTGCCTTCCTCGTCCATTTCCATGTGCAACATAAATAGGTGCCCGCTTTAAAAGAAGCACCATCGTACCACCTTTCAACAACCGCGATGGATTTATCAAAACCGTTCTCCTCCACCGACTCAGAGCTACATCCTGAACAAAAGCCACATCAAACTCTTGGCTACGAAGCACCGAGACCAGACCCAACTGGGTCTGGTCTCCCATCGAGCGCAGTCCGTTTGTATTTATAGAAGCACAAGTTAGAGTCATGGGAAGTATATATCGACACCACCTATCCATCAGGGGCCCGGCTGGTCAGGATAAGCCGAAACCCCACATAAGGAATCGACATCAGCCTCTGAAATCCCTTCGGGAACCTGGGAAAGAAGCACGCCGGGAGGCGGGGCTCCTCAAAACTGGGCACGTCATACCATCACCACCGTCATCGCCAGGCTCAACCACCCCACTGCTGAGGTGGTTGACCGAGTGGTTGACATGGCTGCGCCGAGGACCATAACCACTGCCCGTGGTTGTGATGAGACTCCAAAGGACCCACCTCAGATTCCATCACACCCTGCTCACTGTCCACTGTCTACACCCTGTCAACAAAAACCTCACGTTCCAGGAAACAAATTCTTCCATTCCTCTTGAGACGTTACTGCACGAGACTAGCCGGAAG